GTAAAGGGGTCCTTGGCTGAAAAAAGATTGAGAAGAACTTGCACCATGAGCAACCAGTTATCTACACATCTACAACACCTCACTGCATGCCTGTCCTGCTCTCGGAGATGAATCCCTCCTCTGTTGCTGAAGGTTTAACCAAAGGTTTAACCAAAAACCAAAGGTCTACTGAAAGAGGGTGTCATATGTTGCACAGATTGTAAAACCCTTTAAGAAATAATTGTGAATTGGTGCTGTGTGAATAGAAAATGGCTTGACTAGAAATGTACTGAGGGTTTTTCATTTAGTGTGGATCAGTATTAGCAGCAGCAGAACATCCACAGCCTGTCATTACATCACTGCTCGCTGGTGAGGGTCTGGCATACAGATTTACAACTCAGTGAGTCTGCAACAGTGGCACAGTCAGATTTCTACTGCAAGTCACTAGATGGGCCGATAATAATCACAGGATCGATAAGGAATCTAAATAGAGAGTTGAGCATGAGATGAAAGAGCAGTGTTCAGACCTTGCTGTGAAACGGAAGTAGGTGAACCTGTCATTTGTGCATCAGTAACAGGCCTGTCTGCCATCATGTGTGGAAACGTCTCTAATGCATTTACATGCTGTGCCCTGCTGGTCGGATGGGTCAAAGGGGGGGGATACAGGGGAAGGAAAAAGGCACAAAATGATGAAAGAGTGTGAACGCAGGGATGTGAAATCGAGCCGGCTGGAGCATCAAATTCGCTCCCGTCCTTATCACAGCAGACATCTCTGTTCTCTGTACGGTGAAAACGATGTTATCAGGTCAGAAAATCGCCCAGCTACTCCGTGATCCATCTTTCATCAGTGCACTTGCTACACAGAAACCCTCTCCTCACCCCACCCATCTCAGTGAGAGCTACGATGCCGATGCAAGCTAACGGGGATCCCATTCATGTGTCAGAATAATCCGCGGAAAAACCGGGACGCTTCATCCGGCTCACGGTGGCCGATTTCCCCAACCATCAACCTTATTATCTTATTAATGCACGGGCAGAGAAGTGACGGGGGTGATGCACAGTGAGAGGAGGAAGGGAAAAAAAAACAGCCCCCCAGTCTCCAGCCATCATCACTACCCAGCGCACATCACCAGCCCCGTTCATCTTTAGCGCTGCGGCTGCATCCATCGCTACATTACCACATACCTGTCAATTGCATGTCCGTCCGGCGATATCCAAAGGCGGGCGGCCGGTGTCGCGTTGTGCGACGGCGATGTAATGTTTGCTGATCTTTTTTTTTTCTCGTCTTCTGTGCCGATTGATGCTCTAGTTTCGCCCCGTACCTACCCAGTGCTAATCCACCCCACACAAAGAGCAGAAAATGGCTGCAAGTGCATTTTCTTAAAGGGACAGTCACAGCGGAGTGATGGGTGATGATGAGGGGCCCCGACATGTTGAGCCCACACTAGTACGTTTTTTAAATGTATGTATGTATGTATATTTCAGTTTGTGCCAGTGGAGAATATACACTATTTTCACTTTATTACAAATATTAAAAGTAGTGTGTTTATGTGTGTGTGTGTGTGTGTGAGAGAGAGAGATAAGGGGAAGGAGTCATCTAGTGAACTTTAAAGAAATAGGCCAAACGCTGTTGTCCTCAAAAGACAGAAAGAAAGTGAAAATATACTCTTTATATTACTGCCACTGAAACTATAGTGAATGCCTATCTGTGGTGCTCATGGTGGTATTGCTTTTGTTTGTTTGTTTATTTGTTTGATGCTATAAATGTTTTTTTAAAGATAGCCCATATGTCAGAGATAATACTGTTACAATTAAAACAGAAAACAAATGTATGATGAAACCAGGCAAATTAAATAATAGTCATCTCTGACCCCTGGTGGCAAGATGTCTATGGGGCCGTACAGGGCCAGTTGAAATTTTACTCTTAATAAGCTTGTGATTTTGTTTGTTAAAAAAAAGACATTTGATAATTTCAAATGTGTGAAATAAATGTATAATGTATAATGATATCATGCATGCACTGGAGGCCCATTTGCTATCCACATGTTCAATTATTAGGCTACTATTAAGATGTTTTCATTGTTTGTTAAGTGGCTGGCTGGCTGACTGACTGTTTTATTTTCATTCTAGTCTTATGTCTGCAAGTCATTGCATTCTGTTTTTATTTACAGTTTACACAGCGTCCCAGCTTTTTTGGAATTGGGGTTGTACAATGTTTCTCCTTTCTAAAGTAAATTGTCAAACTGTTCCTTTAAGTGGGGACACAATGCTTAATACCAATATTTTAAAAACCAAATTCATTTTCAAAGTGCAGTGTTATTTGTCAGTCTAGATTGTTTTTGCGGTGGTATTGGAATATTGGTGGTTCGATCCCCAGCTCCTCTAGCCAGCATGTCAAAGCATCCTTGAACAAGATACTGAACCCCGAATTGCTCCCGATGGCTGTTCCATCAATGTGTGAGTGTGTTAAAAGCTGAGTAGCAAGTGGCACCTTGTATAGTAGCCTCAGTCATCAGTGTTTAAATATGTGTGTGAATGTGACCTGTAGAGTAAAAAGCGCTTTGATTGGTCCTAAGACTAGAAAAGCGCAATACAAGTGCAGGTCCATCCATTTACCATTTGGTATGAGTTGACAAGTTCTAGAGACATGTGGCATAAAGATGTCTGCCTAGTCTCGAATATAGAGAAAGTAATGTTGATGTTACATTATGTATATTTTTTTGGACAGGGGTGCCATTTTGTGAGGGATGCACTTTTTTTTACTTGTGCCTGCTTTTGTGGTCAAAGAACGGTATTTGGACAAACTAAGCATGAATATCAAGACCCACATGACTTGACAGGCCAAGGCTGGAATACAGATCCTGATGCACTACCTCCACTCACATAGCTGGACATTGTAAACTATCTGATATTTGGATTAAGTACATACACTTTGGTAATAGAGTGGTGTAGGGATGACGTTTTCTTGTAGGCAAAATGTAGCATCGCCCTGGTTCCCTTGTCAAAAAGCCAACAGGACTTTCCCATTGGATTTTGAAGTACTGCAGAAAATAAGATCTGTGGCAAACACAAGTTTATGACACTTACACGTTTTGTTTAGCAAGACAATCTTCACAGATTAAAAACATTTTTATAATTTTTGAAGTGTAAATACAATCACCAGAAGTAAAAAGCTAACGCATGACTTAAGCGTCACCACCGCAACGAGGCTGCGTTTAGTATGATGACGCTCTGTAGGCACATTTAGCCACCCATTAGCAACCACCTTTTTAAGAACACATAATCGCTTAAAAATTTACAAGTGAGGTGTTTACCCATGTATTTTATATCATAGATCAAAACATAAAAGTATCTTAAGGTTGTGTTAACCGCAGACCTTATTTGAGCCATCTAACCAACAACCCATTGACTTTGGGAAACTCAGGGAACCCTGAGTTCTTAAATGTTAACATAGAGTGAAATACCTTCACATTCTCCATAAAAGAACTAATTTAGATGACCCTCAGCTTGTGGTGCTCAAATCACAAAAAACCATTAAGAAAACATAGCTGTAATGTCTCTGTCAAGAAATCATGAGCAAGATAATCCACAGATCTTGTTGTGAGCAGTGGGAACTATATTCTTTCTGCTGAACTACACCCACCAACTGTATCATGGCGCAAGAGGAAGCGTGCATCTACTGCTAAGTCACCCAGCACCACTAAGCTAGCTAATGTTACAGCTCAGCCGAGGATGATGCCGTTACTGTTTACATCTTGCACTGTCATGAGCACATCCATGAGTAGATTCACGCTTCGATCTGCATGGTGATACAGTTGGCGGGTGTGGTTCGGCAGAAAGAAAATAGTTCCCATATGAAACTGCTCACAGCAAGGTCTGTGAATTATCTTGAATAACCCAACCATGATTTCTAACATTGCTGTCACGTTTTTAATTTTCTTTTTTCTTTTTTTGGCTCTTTGAGCACCACAAGGTAAGCATCATCTAGTTCCATTTTATTCAAGACAAGGCAGAAATCTCTACAGCAGACATCTCCAACACTCTGCAAAATCACACCAAAACAATTTAGATTAATAAAAAGATATTTTTAAAAAAGAAGTATTTTTATTTTAATTTTGGAGTGAATTGTCCCTTTAAGACTAAAATGATAAATCTTCCTACCACTACATATGCGCCTATGAACCAGGCTTATGCTTTGAATTTTTCTGTGGCTCCACTTTTCTAACAGCTGGCCCTCATGACAATAGGCTAGAATAAATACATTTTCTTCAGCATATTTTTTTTCTCTTGTAATGGATATTTCAATCCACCTCTGACTTGGTGCTTGTAGAAATTTTGGGACAGTGTGTATTGTAGGTATATTTGGACCAGAGAGCATTGCATGCCTTGTAGTTCCATCTTTGGCCACTACACCCACACAGCAGAATGCCTGCTTGTTTGACTGACTGACTGAAACGGATTATTCAACTGGTACGTTGTAATCCCACACACTTGCTACACTGGTACCAGTAATAATAGTTTTTTGATAGCAATAGTTCCACTTATGTGTAACCATATCTAAACTGCATTTTTGTGGTAACTTTGAAGAAAGCTGACCTATCTGTAGCCACATTATGCCAAAACCATGACCTTTTGGAGCACACAGTTGAACAGCAGCAGAATGGGTTATGTTGCAGCAGTTGTTTGAACAGTTTCTTTTGACATTTTCATAATGTCTGCGTGAAAACACAATTGGAATCCATTGCAAATGACCTGAATTTAAGTTGGCTATAGCTGCTATTCTCCATATAGAGGCAAACAGGCTTTTTACAGCTGCCTTTTAAGCTTACAGGTAATGACTAATTGTCAAAGGAAAGATGTGGGGTCAAACTGTGTTCAAAATCTGAATTATTAAATCCTACAATTTGTGACATCTTCAGAGACATTTTTTTTCCATTTCTGAAAAGTAAATGTATCACCTACTTTTGGTCATATTTTGAAAGTTATCATTGTTGTAGTCCTGAAAATTAAAACGACAAGAATGACAAAGGATCCATTTAATTAACAGTGAGTTAAACAACATAGCCATCTCACCTATTTAATGTACAGAGACCTTATGGAGTATTTAAAACATAATCATAAACCTGCAGTAAGTTGTCTGAATGAACTGTGTAAGGATTCTCAGGAATAGACAGTCTACAGAGGTATACAGGTACAGCATGAAACAGATAAACTGCAAAATCTAGGAATATGAAAGTGTCTTGTGTTTTGTAATTACCTTACATGAAATAATTTTAAAGACATTTAAAAAAAAACATTTGACAAGCAATTGGAAATAAATCAATAAATAAAATAAATAGAGCTATTTTCATATTTTCAACCTCAAATCACATCTTGGTTCACAGGTCTGCGAGGGAGGCCAACTCGTGCAGGAGGAGAGCAAAGGATGGACGATCTTCTGCTTTCTGAGAATGAAAACGTGACAACAAAAGCATTATTGCAAACAGCTGTGATGTCTGTGTGTTTTGTATGTCGGCAGTTCTTTTACTACGTTCAAATTCCTGTCCCCACCTCCTTCCAGCACCACTCCATGAGCAGGTGAATAGCGTCTGGGGCCAAGCGTGGCTTCAGGAGCCTCAGGCCTGCATTCAGGGACTCCACCACTTCGGCATTTGTGCGGTTCTCATAAGGAAGACGGCCCTCGTTATACACCTCCCACATGAACACACCTGAGCAGGAGTGGACAGGGAGACTCACAGTTATTATTGAATAAACACACCTATAAGGAGACTGGCTGGTGGTCAGTTAATCCTCTAATCTGTCCGTGTGTCTGGTTAATCATTTGCATGGTTGTGGTGGTTCCATACAAGCTCTTTTGCACACAGTATTTTAAATGATTATGACAAGCTTCAAGTGATTTAATCATAAACTGATTTTAGAGCCATGTGTTTATCCATTCAGCATTACTATTTAGCTACATGCAGTCTTGCAAAATCATCCCTGGTTCTTAAAAACAGTTTCTTACTATATTATTTATTTTCTGCATCTGTTAGATACAAGCAAGTCACAACTTCAGAACACTTGTCCTGGGCAACTGTTCAAGCCAGGTCAATATGTTGCTGGCCTGTTTAAACTCCTATTTCACAATTTTCCCAACAAATTTAACTTCTTGAAGGTCACTGCAAATCCAAGAGTTGGCATTGCTCCATGAACATTGCTACCAATACAGTTTTTGGCACTTGTACACACATGTACATGGATTTAAATCAATGACTATGATCAATTAAAAGAAGGCCCAGTGCTTTTTACCCTTGCATCATTTTTTTCTTCAGTAGTTACAAACATCTGTGTATTGAAATGTCTTCTTTTTGCTTCTAAAAGTGGTTTCAAATTATTGTAGTCTTATTAGGTTTCCAGTTTAGTACATTATAGCACAGAACACCAGAGTCAATGTACTATCAGTGAAACACAGATGATTGTGGTGTGTTGTCAGCTAGCCAGCAGAACTCCCAAGACCTGCTGTTTTTCTGTGAAAACTACACAAAATCTGAAAACAATATGAATGATTAAGTGGCAGTTCACCCTGCAATCTAAAGTACACAGTTTCTCTCATACCTGTAGTGCTATTTATCAATTAACATTGTTTTGGTGTGAGTGGCCGAGTGTTGGAGATGTTGGCCTTCTCTCCAATATAATAGAAGTAGATGGCACTTGACTTTTGGTGCCTACTGTACCTAAAAACATTTGAAAAACTCAACATCAACGTGTCTTTCCATAAATCATGACCCAGTTACTAAAGATAATCTACAGATCTTGTTATGAGCAGTTTCATGAACTACACCCACCAACCGAATCACTGTGCAGACAGAAGCATGCATCTACTGCTAGCTCACCTAGCACCACTGAGCTAGCTAATGCTACAACTCAGCTGAGGACGACGCCATTAATGTTTATGCTGGCATGAGCAAGGGCCTCTCGTCCATGAGTAGATGCATGCTTCCATCTGCATGGTGATACGGTTGGTGGGTGTAGTTCAGGAGACAGAAAATAGTTCCTACATGAAACTGCTCACAACAAAGTCTGTGGATTATCTTGAGTAATCAGGCCAGGATTTCTGGAAAGAGACATTGCTGTTGAGTTTTTGAAAGTATTTTTTTGGTGCTTTGAGCACCACAAGCTGAGTGTCATTTATTTCCATTATGTCGGAGAGAAGGCTGACATCGCCAACACTTGACAATGCACACCAAAACAATCTAGATCAACAAATAGCACTATGGGTATGAGGAAAAATATGTACCTTGATTTTTGGGGTGAACCTACCCTTCAAAACCAGACAAATGAAGGATGTTGACTCCAAAGACAGCAAGTCAGACACAAACAAAACAATTGAAAGGCACAGAGATAGACAGATGAACAAACCGAATGACCAGACGTCGGACTTGCTGCTGAACTTGCAGTACTTGATGACCTCTGGGGCCGACCACTTGACAGGGAACTTGGAGCACTGGGAGCTTGTGTACTGATCATCAAGCACAAATCTACAGCACAGAGAGCAGACACTCACCTTTAAATGGCACTAAAGTGACATTTAGCTACAGTAAAAACAAAATAAATTTTGTGCTTTAAAAGTTCCTCACGATACAGTGGATAGCATACCTTGTCATACCAAAGTCAGATACTTTCACCTCATTGTTCTTTGAAACCAGACAGTTCCTGGCAGCCTGTGGAAGAAAGAGGAACAGATGGATTAACTCTGCTAACACAGCACCAGTACATCATAAAAAGCTCTATCTGTTGATTTACCAGATCTCTGTGGATGAAGTTGGAGCTCTCCAGGTAAGCCATCCCCTCACTGACATCCAGACACATCCCCAACATCGTGTCCTGGGATAGACACCCTTTCCTGGCTCGCAGGTAGTCTGACAGTGCACCATTCTCCATGAACTCAAACACCAGACACATGGGAGTACACTGGGTACGCACACCGTACAGCTGAACCAGCTTACAATGGGACAGTCTCCTGTTAAAACACACACAGACACACACATAAGTTGAGTGGTTCGATCACCTGACCAATATGAAGCAACTCTATGAAGTGCACTTACATCATGACCTTTGCCTCTTCTTTAAATTCCTCATCTGACATGCACTCTTCTCGTATCATCTTCACTGCCACCTTCTTATCTCTCCATCTCCCTTCCAGCACCAGCCCAAACTGGCCACTGCCTAACTCCTGACCCAGTGTCAGCTCCGCAGGGTCCACCTCCCACTGATCTGTCGAGCGGCAAACAGGTGGTGAGCAACACTGATAATGTAGTTGAGTTCAGATAACATAAGAAAAATTGATTTATTGATTGTAATCAAAGAGTTATGAAAGTGCCCGGTTTGTTGCACAACACCAAACAGTCACATAACTGTCTGGGAGCACTGAATGCACCCTGAGTATGCCTCTGTGAGAACCACTAGAGGTCAGCAAAAACAAGTTCTTCTGCAGTAAGTTTTTTGTGTGTGTGTGTGTGTGTGTGTGTGTGTGTGTGTGTGTGTGTGTGTGTGAGAGAGAGAGATCCAGTTCAACCAGCTGAGCTGACCCATTTACACAACAGTACATCCTCTAACCTTTCAAGGGATCGGCAATTTCCTGACAGCAGCCTCCATCTTGAGAGACAGGGTGTCTTAAACGGGTTATCAGACCTGCACAGATGACACACAGACATATTAAAGAAGAACTACACCTATTTTCAAAACTCAAACACGTTATTTCTATGGTAAGACAGTCCAAAATAATAGGAAACATGAACAACTATCTGCCAAATCCAAAAACAAGTGCTAAAACTCAAATTTGTGATGTCATAAAGTGTAAAGTCTGGAGCTGCTCCAAAGACAATGAGTTGGAAAAGATGTTAGAGATAACACTGAGAGCAGCCAGGTGAATGTTCTGAGTATATGGGTATACTTTTAGTTTCAGAACTGGGAACACTACAATAGAATAAAGCTCATGAATAAGAATAAAGCTAAAATAAACATTTTGTGGGTCCACAAAATCAGTGTAACTCGGTAAGAACAATTCATAATGTTAGATAGGTAGCACACGTATAACAGCTAAAGTCAGAGTCCTTTTGTAATACTAATTCCCAGCTGGCACACGTCCAACTTTCAATGTTGAAATGTGGTTAGGTCAGTTGTTTCAACATTAAAACAACACTGAAACAGCATTTAATTCCAATGGTTGTAAAAAAGTTAACAAAATTCTCATACCATAAATCAACATTGAAATTTCAGAAAGATCTGTTTCAACATTAAAACAACACTGAAACAACATTAAATTCCAATGGTTGTAAAAAAGTCAACAAAATTCTCATAAATCAACATTGAAATTTCAGAAAGACCCATTTCAATGTCGAAACCATTTTAAAACAACGTTTAAAATTTACGACACAACACTGAAACAACACCACGAAATCAACATTGATTCATCTTTCAAAATCAAACCATAATTCAGCAATGAATCAAATATGGTATATGATGTTGATTCAACAGTGAATAAACATTAGAATGCCAGCTGGGATAATTGGGGGCACAGCATTCGTATATATGTATATACTGCTCACTGATTTTCTTCATGTACCCTTTATTCATATATATATGTGGCCTGAATTTGTGTATATGAGTAATACTTTAATGTATTTTCTTGCTGTGTTGTGACAAATGATTCACAGCGGTGTTTGTTGTATGTATTTAGCATGTCTATATCATTTCTATTTAGCAAGAGACCTTAGAGTAGTTAACTTATGGGGAATACATGATTTGTATACAGATAGTCTCCTTTTTGTATATACCAATATTTTCTTTATGTGCCTTTTTGCACCTTATATACATGTAGTCTTGGTATGGTAGTGGTGTATACAAGTAATATGTAATGTATTTTTTACCATTATTTGATGTGGATTTGGTGTAGTATGTCACATGACTCATATAGGCAAAGATGGCGACTTTCTGTTGTTCATCAGAGGTCTGAGGAGACGTGTTTCTACTCTGCCACAAAATCGGTCCCCCATTCATTGTCTATGAAGCAGCTCCAGACTTTATACTTGACGACATCACAAGTTTTAGATTTAGGTCTTTGGTTTCTGCCTTTTAGGAAGAGTAGACAAATATTGATTGAACCTTTGTAGACAATGGAAAATAACATATTGGCATTCTTAATTTAGGTGGAGCTCCCCTTTAATTACTAATCTTATATAAGGCATCTGAGCACATTCTTTTGCCCTTTGTCACAATGTTTTTTGAGACAGAAGTTTTTAATGAACCAAGCTTCCTTGTGGCACCTGATCTTTTCATTTTAATACTGCTGGGTGCCAGAGGTCGACACACTTACCGGCAGCGTTGTGTTGGTGGTAATGAATGAGCTCAGGAATGGTGCTGAACAAGTATTTCTCTGCCAGGTAAAATGTGGCCTCTCCTGTTTCTGTCTGTCTGATTTGGTAATGTTTCACTCTTGGATTCTTCTCCCCATTAGATCTAAAGGAAAACAAAGAGATGCTTATGCAACATGGGTGAAACATTCACTGTAAATTATAATAAATAGTGTAAGATGAGGAAAAAATGCCACTGGTTTCAGGTCATGTTCATTCTAAATATACACCAGCGTGTCAAGCTGTGGCTCTGGAACATCTTATTATTTAATCAAAGGCTCAGTCACATGCTATCAAGTATATCAGATGTATGTATATTTAGTACCACATTATCTACTAATCATATTTTATTTCTACCAGCTAAAAGGGTAAGAAGGAAATAAAATTACCCGGGTGCTTTGGTGAAGACTGAAACTGTGTAGACCCCTGCCTGCCTCGAGTCACGCACCATGAATGCACCTTCTTTCCCCTAAAAGTAAAAAGTGGAAACCAGATAAAATCATCAAAGGTAAATAATACATTTGTAGTGTCAGACACTGTTTTTTTTTTCAATCTGCAGTTACAACAGTCATTTTGGGTAATAAATGTTGGATAGCTCTCGACCTCCCACTTGCAAAACTTAGCAACTTCACAGCAGGAAATTCAACATTGGAGGAAACACTGTGGTTGTGAGGCATTTTTCACGTCCCATGTCATGTCACATTCTTGTCGTGCATGCAGGTGCATTTGCATTCATTTTTGCAGATGCGAGATTGCTGTAGGTGGTACAGTCACAGCAAAAGTGCACTGCGTCACGTGGGAGCGACATCCTGTTAATTGTCATCACAATTATTATTTGCAGAAGTTATTTTGTTCTGTCAAAACTCGGCTGGAGGCACAAACAGATGGAAATGGAACAATCACCTGGATCCTGAAACACTGACATTGTTTTTACCTGTTTCATTAACAAATCCTCTGCTTCCCCTCTGGTTATGTTTTTGTTGTACCATCTGTGAGACGACAAATTAATGACAAGTAAATTAATTGTATAGAGGGCAGAATGGATTTGCATATATCCACGTGTTAACAATGGGAAACACAATTAAATCAAACTCACTCAAATCTCTCAAAGTTGCTGCCGGATTTTTCAGCCACGTAAGTACTGGGTACGAAGCCTGTGTTCCTGATGAGGGGTCAGGAAAAAATATTCATTAATCGTAAACTCATATTCATCCTTACAATAGATAAAGTGCTATTATTTGTGCTTTTATTTTAAGTGAATTTTGTTACTAAGCCTGAGGTGGGCATCTTTATGTGCCTTACCCCTTGTCATCCTGTACGGCCCACCAGTCGGAGTGGGAGCTGTTAATCAGAGTGTACTCCTGGTCTTTCTGTAGGGGCAGGTCATCATCTCCAAGCGGTGTGTAGTCCTGCAGAGCGATGACAATCCTCTGTCCTGCATGATGCACTGCCATCTACCAGAGAAAAAGAAAAGAAAACCATCTAAAATCTAAAACCCCAACACGATATGGGATATTAATGTGCTCTATGAATTTCAAAGTAACAAACTCTTCTGTCTGAGCAACATATTTTGTGACGAGAGCAATTACTGTGTTATATTTAAAATTCTTTACAGTCGTGTATCTTCACACAAAGGGGTTGAAAATAAAGACAGCAGGGGTTTTTCAACTTTACGTTTACTTTTAAAAAGACACAGAGCAGACAAATATGAAATCGATGTAAACGCCCTTACTTAACAAACCAACGGAGCTAAAAATCATCTGTGATGAGGTGCAATGGTAGAAGCAACAGAATGAATATCAAGAAGTAATTTTGTTTACCCACACTAATTTGAGCAGTATTGACTAACACATCAATAATATTTTAACAGCACACATTATTTATGCTTTAGAAAGGGGTACCTCTGGCTCCGGGAGTTGAGGAAGCGGCTTTTTAGAAGCTGTGGAGTCAGAAAAATGCGATTGGAGAATGTTTAGGTGCATCCAAATGTACAAAATAACACTTTAACACTAGATTTTGTAGGATGCTAAAATATGAAACACTACTAAATGTAGATCAAGTTTTGACAATGTCAGGCGGGATCAAATACACTTATGGAAATATAAATGAAACAAGGAGACAAGATGAAATAATACAAACCATATCCCACGGGGTCATACACATGACAACCCGTCGCCAGTTTCTCTGTTTGTTGGCAGCATCTCCATTTTCCATCCATCCAGAAGTTCGGGTGGTATTTTGTAACCAAGTTGTTATGCTTTGTCTCTGTATCAGACAGAATGATATAAATGTAGTTTCAGAAATCAAGTCTATGAAATACAATCAAGGGTTTACATGTTGTGCTGCCATTATTGTCTTAAGCATGGTGTTCTAAATTGCTCACCCTCTTTAAGAGCTCTGACCCATCTCTGACGGCAATCATTGTCTGGGGCGAAAATGTAGAGGTAGTGGTTGTTGTGAAAAACCTGTAGAGACATTTGCATTTCAGAAAAGTGCTACTTATATTCTTGTGTTACGTCATTAACGGTTATACTACACACTACTAAACATATAACAAAATATTTCATCTTTGTGTATGAGCTCACCTGAAAAGGGTACTTATAGTTGCATGGTATGGGGACGTCAGTACACACAATCTCCACACACTTGATCCTGGACAGCTCGATGCAGCCTTTCTGCATGGGCTTTTTCTGAAAGATCAAGATCTTTACTTTCAGTGTGCTACACATACCATTGATATGATTCATATTGTAGTTGTTTCCTTATACGCCATATTTACAAACCAAGCATCCAGATTGCTTCATTTCAAATTTAAATCTAGTGTATTAATGCGTAAGGTGCGTACTTACCCCCGGTCTGCGTTCAGAATACTTCAGGTCTTGGGTGTCCAATACAAAAAACCTCTCCTTGTAGTTGCAAGGTGATGTTCTCTTCTTTTGCTGAGATTTTTTAATCATAGTTCCCTTCAAAATCACCCTGGGGAACATGGTGACAGCTATGAACAACAATATGAAAAACAATGGTGGCTTTTGGCTGACGGAGAGAGACTGAGTACCTCGCAGTGACAGAAAAGAAAACAGTAGATGATAACTTGACTGAAGCTGCGGAGCTTCCGGCATAAAGTTGTTGCACTCGGTAAACCACATCCTTACGGCATGAAATGGGTTGTGCTTATGCACACACACACAGGCACCCAAGCACACACACACACACACACACACACACACTACAAGCGCTCACATGTACTTTCGCTAACTATGTTGCAATAAGTCAGTGAGAGCTGTGCAGAAGTGGGAGGGTCATTATTTAATCTCTGCACTTTTGTACATTTAACACCAAATATACACCTTGAAGGTGACAATATATCCTGGTAATGACACAAAGTTTAGGTAAAATTGTAAATATTAGACAGGAGTATTCATTTAACAAAAATAAGGGCATTAATTTCACTATCAAAACTGCTGAACTTTTAAAACACACTTGGCAAAAATTACGTAATAACTATGTACTAAGACTGAGGTTTTGGGTTTTCACATTGTTACAGCCACGATGAAGATTTTAGGGAGGTGTTTTACTGTGTTGCCTGTGTATATGTATAAATTGCATCTTTGAAAAAGCCCCACTGTCATCACACCTGCCCCTGCTTTTATACAGCACTTGTGAAATGGTTTCAGTTTCCTTGTGTTTTTTTATTCTCTCCCATATGATGCTCACAGACACACAGAGACAGATTGTAATCGTGCTGGGAATGTTGAGGCTATGCTAGAAAAATAATGCTGATTATAGCTTCAAGCAGTGTTAGAGTTGTGTTCCAGTAATCATGAAGATTAAAAAGGTGGTTTGGGGATCTTGTTTAGACATAGTAGTTTGAGTTAGAGAGTAGAATTTTACAAGCTTTATAATTTAATAATTTTATAAGCTTTCCGTTGACCACTTTTTTCATGTCACTTTCATCCTTATATATCCCATGTAATGCTTTGATCATGTGTTCTTTTCTTTTGTATCACTTTTGAGTGCCCTTTTCTGTTTTAATTGTAGTTGATTGTACTACACTGTTGTTTTTATCATTTGTTTTATAGCACTTTGAGATTTCTTGGAATGTAAAGTGCATTATAAATAAAGTTTATTATTATTATTATTATTATTATTATTATTACAAAGTTAGAGAGTTTAAAGACTGAAGCAATCCTCAAGAAGCAATTCTCACAAAACCTGGGAGATTTACAGTATATGGATGCTACAGCACCACCATCAGGAAAAGCACTCTTACAGTTTAGTCTGCATTAGAATTTTGGATGAGAATGGACTACTTTCTGGTCTACATCAGTTTTCACTGAGGGGCACATTTTGTTAGAAAAAATACTTAGAACATGAAGACAATGTCAGAAAATCAGGGTTGAGGATTTTTTTTAATACATTCAGCAGTGGTTTCAGTATTTCTAGCCTATATAATGTTTTTATTATTTTCCCTGAATTTTAAACTGTGCAATATTTTTTACATCACATATACTCGTTGAATTCCATTATGAAATCAGAACAAAATTCAAATATGTGACTAAATGTACAAGTAAAGTATGAGCATCTTATTGACAGAGCCTGTCTGATGTGGACTGCGGAATGTTAATAAATGTAGTCCTGTCTGAGTATTTTAAAGTCTACAATATCATTAACAATAGCTCTAAAAATGTGCAAAGTTTTAATTTTATTTTGGAGAATTGGCAGAATCAGAATGATGGACTTTATACTTCATATATCCACTAGACTGCAGTATCTGAAAAATCCCCCCTCTCTTTTAAGCTGTATCATATGAATGACTGCTTAAAGAAAGTCAGAAAATTAAATAAATTAGATTCTAAATGTGAACTGAAATGGCCTTAATACCTATACATTATGTAAAACCAGGACTGCTACACACAATTTTAGTTTTTGTCTCTTAATAGGCTATTCATTTTTACAGAATGGCTTTTCTTGACAGCTAATACATTTTCACATTTTAATGTAACATGTGGATTTAGCTAATTTTGCATTTTAGATTAGTTTAATGTCAGTTGGCTTTTTTAAAAGTTATGTTGTGTAATTGCTCACCTCAGGCAACTGTTTTAATTTTGATGATGGTTGTGTTCTGCCATTGCTTTTTATTTGGCTTCCAGTCCATTCCCTTAGTGCTTCTTGCTTGCAGAATGCTCTATGGATAAATGGTTATTGTTATAATCATGGTTTTTACATTTTTATAAGAAGGCAATTTTGCTGGAAAAGTCTTTGGCGTAGAATACTGGTATGAATGAGGTTTAAAAACCTGCGTCAGAACTTATTTCAGTAGGTACGTAGTTTAGTTAAATGCACTTTTTGATATCATAAGGGACAGAAATTATTTCTAATCACCAAGCCACAAATTATACCGTGAAAAGAAGCTTACCTCTCACTTTATATCTCTAACAACACTATTTTTTGAACAGTCATGCTTTAACAAACGTTACAAAACTATTTTTATATTAGCTATATTAGCGAACAAATCATTTATCATACTTCCGACTGTTACGACCAATCAGCTTTTAGTTCGCGCTTCTGGTACGGTCCAATCCGCGCGGCCAAATAAATGTCACGAGGACAGTTCAGCCAATGAAAATGGGACACAGACAAACGTTCCTGTCAGTGGATGGAAGGAGCTAAGCTAGTCATGAGCTAAGTGTCCGGTTAGAAACCTCTGTGACACTTCATATCTACAGTCTACATTTAGCAACAGAGGAACCATTTAAGGGGTGTGTATAAGTACATTTGCTGTATTTTAATGCGCTTATTTTGTTAGACAGTTTGCGGTTCCGACGTAACTAGTTAGCAGAGGTTAGCAGAAGTAACGTTACTGCTAGCACTAGCCACATAGCTAGTTAGCTGCGTATTTCTCTAGAGCGCAGTGGTTCTGCTAACGGCTAGCGGTACATCTGATTGTAGACAAGAGGAGGAGAGGAGCTACACATCCATTAACGTAAATACACGTTTTAGATAGTTAATGATGATATTTGATTACAAGTTGTATGGCAAACAGTTGCTAACGTAACTAGCATCGCTCGCTTGTTATGTTAGCCCTCACCCGTACTGACAGCTAGCAAGCTAACTTTGTTCTTTCATATTTTACATGGGGAAGATCTTGCCGCTTCTGAATGAATGAATCAATCAATGAATCAGTCTTTACTGTCATTACACAGAATGTACAATGAAATTCAGTTTGCTTTCCTCGGTGTAAGAGCAATTAGAAATGTACATACACATAAAAAGTTAAAAGCAGCAGCAATAGAAGGTGTCAGCGCAGTTAAAGTGTCAGTAAAAAAAATAAAATATTAATGAAATAATGGCAGTAGCAGTGATAGTGCATGTTTAACACTGTGTACTATGATGGAGCAATGGAGGCAACCGCTCTATTGGTGTTGATTTCCGATGGAGGAGTCAAATGTTGCCTCGATTGTCGACAAAAACAAAAATATACAACTTTATTTGCAGAGGTGGAAACTAACGAAGTAACTGAACATAATAACTGCATTTAAATAGGTCACAGTCTTTAAGGTAACTTTACTGGTACATTAGCTGAATAAGATATGTAATTCCAGTTGTGCAAAATGAATCACACAGTAAGTGAAAAATGTGTTTTTTTTCTTCTTTGTTTTGTGAAAACTGCAGTTACAGCTTAATCTGTATGTCCATACTTTTACATACAATACCATGAGAATCTCATTAAACACATAGCATTACAGTAAATCAAAATATTCAGTATAGGAGTATTGAAAGATGGAAAAAAAACACTGGACTGGCCACAGGTATAAAAGTTAAGTTTACATACACATTACTGCTTTAATACAGTTTTCAGTACTCTGAAAAGCCCTATTTTTTTGTAATTAGTGCATATACCCTTGGCTTGCTGTACTTGACTAAAGCAATCCAGGGTTGCACAACTGGTACGCACTTAGCTTTTTAAATACTTTTAATACAGTGTTTTTGTATGATAGTATTGCCACCTATTGTAAAGCATTAGACTGACTCTGTTACTGCTATTAGCTATGAACTTATTACTATGCGTGTTACTTTTTAACATGTACAGAGGAAACCCTAAGTGGTCCTAAACTCACAACTGGTGCACACATTTTAACTTATTTCTTATTTTAAAAAGGCATTGTTTTGCTTGGCAAAGAGATTAATATTTTACTGTTACTGTTTCAGATCAGCATCATGGGTGAACCACAGCAGGTCAGTGCCCTGCCCCCTCCGCCTATGCAGTACATCAAAGAATACACAGATGAAAACATCCGCAAAGGTCTGGCTCCTAAGCCACCTCCACCCATCAGAGACAACTACATGATGTTTGGTAACCAGTTCCAGTGTGACGACCTCATCATCCGGCCACTAGAGAGCCAAGGTATTGAGAGGCTCCATCCTATGCAGTTTGACCACAAAAGGGAGCTTAAGAAGCTCAACATGTCCATTCTCGTGAACTTTCTGGACCTTCTGGACATCCTTATCAAAAGCCCCGGCAGTATAAAGCGTGAAGAGAAGCTGGAGGACTTGAAGCTTCTGTTTGTTCATATGCACCATCTGATAAATGAGTACAGGCCACATCAAGCCAGGGAGACACTGAGGGTGATGATGGAGGTGCAGAAGAGACAGAGGCTAGAGACAGCTGAGAGGTTCCAGAAACATCTGGAGAGGGTGGTGGAGATGATCCAGGGGTGCCTTGCGTCCTTACCTGATGACTTACCACAGATGGAGGGTTCGGATGGTGCTAGCGATGGGACAAGGAGTGTGCCTGCAGCAGCTAGTGTTGGTTGCTCATCTGGGCAGGCCCCTAGACTGAAAACTGAACCAATGGATGTAGAGGAAGCAGGTGCTAGCTGTATGGCAGCAGGTAACCAGGACAAGAGCGCCCCTGCTTCTAAGAGGGACAAAATATGGGACAAGGATGCTGCCATGTGCAGTATTATTGATGAAATTGCTTAAGTTTTCTGATGCGTAGTTGTGTTTCTTTTTTCAGTGTTTCTCTTTGTTTTTTTGTATGCTGTACTTAAGAGTCTAAGTATGAAAACGTTTGCTGTGTTTTCACTGGGCCTGGAGTTGAATGGTATTTTATTTTAAAAGCCATTATGTAGATATTATTAAGAGTTTCTGTGAAGGTATTTGGAGAATGTAAATATGACACCGATCTTTTTTTGTAATAAATCCAATAAAGAAAATTCCTATTGCAGTAGAGCTGTGATGAAAGTGTTCATTAAACCATCAGTGTTTAAGCGAATCCATTATTTGTGTAGACATTTCATCAGGATCACAAAGCATCTTAGCCTTGTCACACACCTTGCACACTTCTGATGTAGTAAGAGTGGTTATGGAAAGGTTAGTGTTTACAGACTGTAGTTACAGTCACCCCTCCCTAAAGCCTTTCACTCCAGCTTTTTGTAGAAGCGCTTATATAATATAATAACCAGTGTTTTGTGGCCTTGTTTGTGTAACAGTTTCCTCCAGCAGCAGCAGCTGCAGCTCTTGTTTAATGATGACAAAGCATGCATCTACTTAGAGGGATCCTAATTTCCATATTGAAACACAGAGCCAAATTTTTGGGGTGTATTTGAATATTGAAATATACATAGTTCTATGACTAATGTGATGTAAGAGAAATTATCATAGGAATGTGCACATTGTGTACAGCAAAGTTCAGTTTCCTTATGCACATGCTCTACAAAGGATGTTTGTTACACAGGCAGCAGGCTGTAATAATGTGAGTCAAAGAAGTGTCTGTGTGTGGCCGACAGCAGACTCCAGCCTCATTTCACTGACCCAGAATGGCTTCCCAGGGACAGGTTCCACCTTACATGCACTGACTTGTGTAACAGATGTTCAGAGGTTTATTTTATCCACTGCTCTGCTCTGCAGCATTGTCCTGCCATGTGTGTGTAACACCACAGACAACATTAACAGCAAGTGATATACAACATAACAAAATGTTGCTATGTTTAAACGTTGCTTAATCTTTCGGGTATGTAAGCAAAAAACCGAGGATGAGCACGACGTGGTTCATATCATGATCCTGCCACCCCGCCCCCTGCCTGTTATTATCCTCTGCTGGGATTCCCTACACAGCGACAGGGTCATTTCCATATCCTGCCGTCTTGGGTTGAATTATTAATACTCCAGTGACTTGAAGTACATGTCTATTAACTCGTTTCCCGCCCAGATGTTTCTGTAACACCGATTAAAAATGCCAACAACTTTTGTCGCAGGAATTATGTTATGAAACTCGGCATCCTTGGGTTTCACAACAGGGCGGAAAGCCATCCTGCCGTCCAATCGGATGGCGCGCTGCTGCGTCACGTGGTCTTTATTTATGTAATGTAATGGTGTTACACAGTAACCCAGCTTCGTGGCTGTGGATACGTCGCAAGGGGTTAAAAGCGGCCACGGAGTATTAAAAAAGAATAATATTAATGGGAACACATTCTGCCGTGCTTCGTGTTGCGTTTAAGGACTTTAGGGAGCGCGAGGAAAGCGGCGCGTTTCACTGGAAGCTGACTTTTGTTTGATTTAACCTGCTCGTAAAGGGAAGGCGTTATGTGTGCCAATCCAAAGACTAAGTTTGGGCTGGAAATAAATAGTGTCAATGGGCGCATTTTGATTTGCAAAGGGAATTTGTAATGTGAGCATATGACAGCTCAGATTAGCAGTAGCCTAGCTAGACACAAACCGGTCGGGTTCGGGCAGATGTGATCACAAGAAGGGACACGTTTACTGTATCGCTTAGCTGTCAAGTGTGTTATTTAAATGGTCCATGCAATACTATTACACAGACGAGCCTCTCCGTCCGCATTGCTTTGACGACAAAAGCAACAGATCTTCCCGCGGGACGTTGTTTCTGGTGACATAATCCATCCACCATGGATCTGCTGGAGTGTCCGCTCTGTCTCTTTCTGATGTGCGAGCCGGTGACCATGTCGTGCGGCCACACGTTCTGCCGGAGATGCGTCGGGGGTTACCTCCCGTCCAAATGCCCGTCGTGCAAAGAGAGGTTAAAACAACGAGAGGTGAAAAGCGTGAAGAACAACGTCTTGCTCATCAGCGTGGTGGAGAAGTGCTGCCCCGACGAGACAAAGACCAAGTGCCATATACTGGAGAAGCTCAAGGCCAACGAGTTCTCGGAAGCTTTTCGCATCGCGAACGAGGGGCTGCATTTAGGTAAGTAAGGGCTACCTGCACAACATCATTACAACAGCAGAAACAATACACAGGTTAGTTCAGTGTGCATGTAGGTTCAGTGTTGAAGGGAGTGCCCGCAGGTCTGCTTGTTTGAACAGTTACCTAAGATGACACTTTGATAAGGAGGCAGGCAGTTTGGAGTCCCACTTTTACGCACTGCACACAGTTTGGACTGGTGCCCAGTGATGATGACTGGTGGTGCATCCTGATCCGCTCATAAGGTGCTCAGCAGTGAGGTGTGATGAGAAATACAAGAGGAAAGCTGGTGTCTTCAGCACATATCCAATGTCTCAGGCTATTGATGACCTGAATGTAGTCTAGGGGAGACCGGGGTTGGTTGGCACATAGCTCAGACACAAAAAATAACATAAATATGTTCTCTCTTTTTTTCACCTGCACTCATCTACTATGTTGAAACATCTGAAAGTCAACTTTTTGGTGAGGGTGACATTTTAGTTAAATAGTACTGAAAGTGAAAAAGTGGTCTGTGGACTAAATTTTTTATAAAACTGTGTTAGACAGAGATACTGGAAAAGTGTTACTCCTGGTTAATAGACAAAGGAACCAGCTTTATTTTGATGTAAGATTTGAAAGTCTGTGATAATGATGGCAGCTGACTCACATAATTTGATCACAGACTTGGGTCCAATGTGAGCAGGGTTGGTTGGCACTAGTCTTGCCACCAGACAATCAGAGATCTCCACCTTCTGATAGTCTGGGGACACTCCTTTCTAAAGTGTGCTTACACACCCGAGAAAACGGCCGGCAACAAAGCAACACCTCTTGCATTTTCTAAAAGGACACGACCTCCTGGAAATGTGCACTCCCCCTTTTCTCGTCTGAGCTTGAAAATGGATGCTGAGATTTACTTCCTTTTATCAAACGTGTGCTCAGTCCACAAGATTGTGGAATTGAAGGACTTACAGCGACTTTGTTTAAAGCTTTTAACGCAGTCGGACTATGTTTACGAGCACAAGAGTTCAGTGAGCCACCGAAGGACCGCCCTGCGGATTTACTATTGGTTCTTTTGGGTTGTTTGACATATGTGTAAATCAATTATAAAATCAACAGTTGTAATTGTGCCTGTATTTTAAAGACAACAACTACTTTTAAAGATTAAAAACAATGTTTACATTGATTTTTTTATCACTATGAATGGTCAGTGGTAAAAGTAATTAGACATGCCTACTGATGGATTGCTTAACTTTTTTGAAAGGAAGAATTATCCTATTGGATGTTAATGTTTTCTGTTTCTTGTTTAAATTAAATGTTCAAACTGTTTCTATTGGCTGTGTCCTTTTAATAACGTCCATAATGTCTGCCAGCCAACCCCGTGATAGGCCTGGTTGGCACAAAAGCACAACTTGACTTTAATCACAAATCACTTAATTTTTAAAACCATTTATGCACATTAAACATTTTTAAAGCCAAGACTTTAACCTTTCATTTGCTGCTGGTTTGACTATTCTAACATAGATTATGTCAGAGAAACACAGCAGAGAGTGAAAAGCGTGCCAACCAACCCCAGTCTCCCCTATAACTGGGTCAGTAAACAGTCTCCAGATGCTCCTTCCTTCCTCTATAGCAAGAACTTTGCATATTGAACCATTTAGGCAGGAGGGCAAACACTTACACTAATGTTTTGTGCGGCTTTAAATGAAGTTAACCTGCATTAGTCTGGTTTAACATGCCTCTCTCTCTGTGACACACAGTATAAGGGGCAGTGATAGCAGCTGTAACAGCTGTTAACTGGAAAATAATACAGGACACAAGCTGAGGCAATTCCTGTTTTTTGAGCAAGCTTTCTGTACCTTTCTGTTGTCAAATCATGGTTGGAAAAGGAGGGAAGGGCAAAGAGTATGTGTTGTAACATTTTCCTAGAAACACCCCTGCAAACAAATCTTTTCTACGACCTTATCTGTACAGTCACTGATCCTCTGCACTCGCCTCTGTGTGTGCATTTCACCTTATTTTCCTCACGCAGCAGCGAGGAGGTAAGAGGGACAATTTCTGCCCTAGATGAGTTTATCTAGTCAGTAGGTGTCCTGGGGATCGTAGGAGTGTTTGTGCTACAGTGAATCAGCATACTGTTGAATTACCTACATGTTTGCCATCCCTGCCAACCCAATTAAACGCTGCTGCTCCTGCCCTCTCGGTTCTTGTGTAATGATCTCCGGGCAGATTTGTTTACATTAGTTTTTCTCTTGTCATTGGAGGTTTGAGGTCGTGTTTTGACTTTTTAATTTGTTATATCATAATGTGGGCATTGTCAAACACTTTATGTAATCATTAAGACCTGTACACTGTCAATAAACATGGCCTGACTGGAGCAACAGCTTTAGGTAACGCTTTGAACCTTGAATGCACACGTGCACATACTGGTGTCGACAGGTGTAATGAAACATTTATTTTACCTGACGCAGAAGCACAGTTAAACATCAACAGAAACGGACGACATTTATGCAGTTGCAATTCAGTGTTAACTTTAGGAGTTTGAACTACAAATCTAACCTGATGCTTCATTGAAGAAAAATATCTCTTTGGATACTGTTGCAGTTTTCTCTCATGTCACCTGAACTCACCATTAACTGATATTTCTGCCATTCTTGTACCTGTAACACTGTTACAGGCTTGTGCAAATTTTAATGCAGATCAGTAAGGCCTTGCTGTGCACTGTTTGGTTTTCCCTTTATGTTTCAAAGCAAGCAGAACCACTTGTTATGCAGGCTGCTCCATGCCTGTCATGACATGGTGAATGTTTTTATGTAGAAACGTGTGTAAATAGAGTCTGAGCAAATTATATCTCCTCTCTTTTTTTCTTACTCTCTCGCCTCTCTCCTTTTTTGCATCCTTAGTCCCAGACGATCAGAGCTTGAAACTGTACAGAGCTGAAGCTAACTGGGGCCTGATGCGTTTCTCTGACGCTCTGACGGACCTCGACTACCTCTGCTGCCTTCGTCCCAACTGGACTGAGGTGAGAGACTTTTTCAACACAAACCAATCTGTTAAAATTCTCTATTAACAATGCCAGATTTAAAGCTGCTCCTACGTCAGTTCACTCCTGTGCTGAATTAAACCCAACATGTACACCACTTGTTGGTTTTGTAACATGCATTTTTATTTTATTTTAGTTTTTAACCTAGTGTGCGAAGCTGACCCCCTTTAGAGAGCGATTTTCTCTGCTTGTATTGATGTTATGTCATTTACAAAGTTATGCAAACAGCTACTTCTGTCATGACGTCATTTCATCACTCACTGCAAATGCAGAAATCCACACTGATGTAATCACTGATATTGCTTCATTATTTTCCAGAGATGTGTAATATCACTTAAAATTTTCACCATTTAACATTTAGCCAACAGCAAAAGTAGGAAAAAACAAGTGCTATCATGCTACAATTTAATTCAGATAAACGGATTAATGACACTAATAGTGTCAGATTGTTATGTTCTCTGTGGTGAGTCATTTAGACGTGTCATTTGCTCCTGCAGGCAGTGATGTGCTGATGTCACTCCTCTGTTTGTGCAGGGCTTCTTTCGTAAAGGAAATGTACTGCTGGAAATGGGTCAGCAGACAGATGCCCTCATCCAGTTCCATCGTTGCCTAAAACTTCAAGCTGACTTTGTTCCGGCAAAGAGCCAGATCAAGAAGGTTTGTCAATGACCGCTCATTAATTGTTTAGTGTAAAGTTACACCGAGAATTTCAGTGAAAGATGTGGGATTATACAGTTGCATATGCCTTTTTTTCTTTTCTTTTTTTGAAAAAATAGCAGCGCTGTGAGATACAGACTGACTAATAACATGTTTCAATTTGGTTGGGGTTCAGTGCCTTGCACCCCAGGGCACCCCGACTGTGCCCAAGAGGCAAACTGGCACCTCTCCAGTTATCAGTCCACACTCCACGTATTTGGTCCCAACAGGGACATGATTCAGTTCCCAACCCAAGTCCTTATGGACTGAGCTACTGCCACCTTGTTAGTGCCGCAGTATAAACAGATTGCTCCATGAGGTTACAACTGACCTGCACACATCAGCTACAGCTCTGTGAGGTGATCGGTTAACTCAGTTTGATAAATGATGAGTTTAAATAAATTTTAAAAAGATGGAATCTGGTCTGAGTGTGTGATTTTTCTATTTCACATCATGGTTCATATGATAAGGAGCCAAATTATGTAGTTTTTCCATTAGATTTTAATTTTTCTTTGCTTAAAAAAGTTTTTCTTGTAAGTATAGTTTCAGTCTGTGTGGAGTTTTGACAGTGTGGATTTATTCTTCCTACCTATATTTTATTATATAATTATTAATGGTATTATTATCATAAGTAGTAGTGGTGTTAATAATAGTAGATGTATTGATACTTTTAGATTATATGCATTTTACATGCACATTATCTTATTTTCTTTCCAACTTCCAATTTCTGCCTTCAATAACTTTTTTTATTGGATTTTAGTTTGCAGCACTGAAAACAAATATATTTATCTAAATACCTTTATGATTGGATTCAAATGGCAGATCCTGGAGACGGAGGGCATGGCAGTGCCGGAGGAGGTGCCGTGCATCTTGCAAGTTGTGTCTGAGTACCTGAAAGGGCCCTGCCCCATCACCAGCCTCAGCGGCTCCCAGGGGCCTACTCACCCAGAGGGCCTCAAACATCGTGGGGATGATGGAGATGGAGAAGGAAGGAGAGAGTCACACCAGGTGAGCTCTGTACAGAAGGCGAGGAGAATGTTAACAGCTCTTACATGCACTTTAATGCTCGAAGTGTAAACACGCTGCACATCCTAACTGGTCCAACTGTGTGTCTGTAGGGCTCCAAGGTGAAGCATGACACGGGTACTGAGTGCTGCCTCAGCCTCTGCCAAGCTGTTTCCTTCCTCCCTGCCGCCGAGGAGGACGAGGAGATGATGATGAGGAAGGAAGATGGGCATGGCATGGGTATGCACACACCAGTACACACACATTTATTATAAATCGACTACCATCTTCATCATCATTGTCCTCGTCATGAATCATCTTTGTCACTGTCACTACAAACAACTTTTACTGAAACACCCACCAGATGGTTTGAAAATGCATAATAATTGCTTTTTCTTCCTCAGCGGGACAAACTCGTCATAAAGCTTTAAAGTCTCTTCTCTCTGTGTGTCTTAGGTGAAAGTGGGCGCAGCAGAGAGAAAACTCTGAGCGTTCTTACTGTGTCAGACTTTGAGTGCCCTCTCTGCATCAGGTCAGTGTCCTGGAGTATCCGCTCTAATCAATAATGCATTGCTGTCTGTGCTGGTTCTGCTGTAGTGTCATATGTCAGGTTGATCCTATTCTCCTCTCTTTCTGTTTGGCAAAGCACCCACTAGACTTAAAGCTACTGTTGCACAGATAGCTTCAACATACATCCTCGGCTAAGCTGTTTTAACTTGTAGTTTTAACTTGCATCTTCCTCTGTCCTCTGAAGGTTGTTTTTCGAGCCAGTCACTACTCCCTGTGGTCACACCTTCTGTAAAAACTGCATAGAGCGGAGTCTGGATCACAACCTCCGCTGTCCACTCTGCAAACAGCCACTACAAGAGGTAACCACCTACAGACACTCCGATACATCTATTTTAAGCTTAATAGGGAGAAAAAGGGCGCCAGATCCTGTTTTTTGACCACTTTTAAAAGATGCTTGATTTTTAATGCCTCGTTATTGCCTCCGCTCTGTGGCTGTAACACCAAATTTAGTCGAGGCATGCTGAGATGTAGCAGCAGCTTTGTGGAAGTGTGGGAACAAATAGTTTTCTACTAATCATACTTGACTTTTCATACACCTCATCTGCGACCAATTTCACATCAGTGTTCCCACTGGTGCTTGGAACGCTTGGAAGTTTGTGAATTTGAGGCAAGAAAGCAAGTTTTTGAAAACAGACATAAATACGAATTGTTGAAACAGTTTGAATTTATATATTTGGTGCAAGAATGCAAGTTGAAGTTCTTTTGATATTGTCACACTGCACAGCTGAGACGTCTTCACACATTCAAGCCTCTCTGTCTTTTTAATTGTTGTCTGCGAGCTTCTGTACAACCTGCTACTTCTCATAATAAAAATTCTTAGTGTTGTAACAGTACTTAAAACTATGTCATGTTGGGTCCTTGAATTTTAAAGGGAATCGGGCCTGGATTGTCTTTGAATAGTCCTTGAATTTGATCTTTAGAAAGTGTGGGAACCCTGTCGCATAAAGCTATGGGACAATAGAACTTCCTGGTTCCTCATTCCAGTGTTTTGGTTGTGATGAATGATCTGTAATAACAATATTGTTGTAACAGCTATGTGTATGCATTTATCTTCATGCACATACAGCTGAGACCACATTAAAATAGGATCTTCATTAATAAACCTATATGTCATGATGCATTGCAGGGCTTTGTTGCACCAAAGTACAAACTGTTATACTTTCTTTGTTGTAATCCGCTGAATTGTTTTATTGCAACATGTATTATGTATCATTGCATATAAGTGTGCAATAATGTTGGCATCATGGCTGATTGCTCTCACATTTCTCTTCCCAGTACTTCAAAAACAGGAAGTATAACCCCACAGTTCTGCTTCAGGACATCATGACCCGCCTTTTCCCCTCACAGCTGGCCGAGAGGAAACAGGTCCATGAAGCTGAGATGGCTGAACTGTCCAAGTAGGCACCCACCTCACACAGTCTACACTTGTGACTCATTCTGGCAACTCTAATTGCAATTTACAGTATTCCCAAAGTTCTCTTTTTCTCCCTGCCTCCCACTTATTTTTGTGTCTTCTCTTTCCCATCTTGTCTTTTCCTTTGTAGTCTAACTAAAGACATCCCTATATTCGTTTGCACGGTGGCCTACCCTGGAGTGCCCTGCCCCCTGCACATCTTTGAGCCTCGATACCGGCTGATGATGCGTCGCTGCATGGAGACTGGCACCAAGAAGTTTGGCATGTGCAGCTATGAGCATGGCAAGGGGTATGCAGTTACTTTTTTTTGTTTTAATTATCCATAGCATCTTATTTAATCAGAAAATTTGGATTTGCGTAGATATTAAACTTAAGTGGCGTAAAAATATAGCCAGTTTTAACCCAGGTGAGACGAAGACCCTGTACATCTACGCAAGTGGGCAGTTATTTTGACCCGAATGTACTGGCATTGAGAGACTGTGTTTGACATTTCCCTAACCATGAAGCTCACAGCAGGCGAGGTGGAGCCTGATGGGATTGTCAGCACAGTGGGCAAAGTTTAACCCAGTCATAAGTGACCCTGAGTGGGCGAGCAATAGCAGCATGGTCACCAATCTGGTGTGAGATCTGCTGGACAGTTTCATCCTCCACCAGATATTTGCTCTTAGTTTTACTTTATGTTGTCATGGTATTGAATTTCCTAACATGATTACTGATAAATATCTATCTAAACTAATATTAAAATATGCTAATATTTTGCAGAATAATGTTCTAAGAAAGCATTTTGTTTCTGCAGCTCATTATTTTGATTGTGCAAGTTTATAAAGCTTTTGTTTCCCACTCACATAATGACATAAATGGCAATGAGAAGATGCTTTGCTGAGCTTACACCAAGATGAGGCATTTCTTGTTGACAGCGTAGATAAAGTAGTTGTTAACATGTTTTTAAAGTCAGTGAATAAAAGGTAGCAGGCCTGCCTAGCTCTCTGTGGTTAATGTAAGAGAGTTTGATGACCTCAGTGATTTCCAAGCCATTTTATCCCTATCCCTAAGGTTTGAATTTGTTTTTATATAAGTTTCCATGCTATTTTTAGACACAAAACTTATGTACATGAACTATTTCATATTTTATGTGATGGTCCCTAGAAAAAAAGGCATAAAATATAAAAAGTTTGAATACATTTTTGGCTCAAAAGTAATGTATTTATGTCAGGGGCAACATTTTCTACCAGAAGACAGGACAGGAAGACAGACATTTTTGGTCCAAAAAATTAATTAAATCTGTCTGAACCCTCAAAATATATTTGAACCTTTTAATAAAGGCATACCAAGCTTATTAAATCTAAATTAGCTTATCAACACCACTAATAGGTCTAATCATTAATATGTTTTATCATAAGGTAGCTACTCTGCAGTATCTGTGAATATTTGGTACCTTGCAGAGAAAGTAAACTAATCTTGGGGCGTCGGTGGCTTAGTGGTAGAGCAGGCGCCCCATGTATAAGGCTGTTGCCGCAGCGGCCCGGGTTCAAATCCAGCCTGTGGCCCTTTGCTGCATGTCATCCCCTCTCTCTCTCCCCCCTTCACGCTTACCTGTCCTGTCCATTAAAGGCAAAATGGCCCAAAAAAATATCTTTAAAAAGAAAGTAAACTAATCTGTATACACTATTAAAATCAATATTTTCCTCCAAGACTTTTCCATTTGGATTTGGAATCCACAGCTAGCTTCGCTAAGGAGACTCAAGACAAGCCACCACTCTTGATGTTTGGCAAAATTTAGTGAAAAGTCGCCAGGCTGTAGACATAGCTATGGCTCACATTTTAGTTGAAAAAAAGGTAAAACAATTTTTAAATTTGTTGGAGGCCTATAGGTTACACATTTTTACAATTTGATAATGTAAGAATCACTGTAGGCCTACAACAATGATAAATGACAAATAAAATGTTCAAAAATATCCGTCATTCATTTCCATGTCGCCTAATATTTGGTCAAAGCCATTGGAGAGGGGCTAAAGAGCAGCATGTGGCTCCGGGGCCACATGTTGCCTACCCCTGGTCCATGCACTACGATGAATATAAGAAATTCTACTCAGTTTTGTTTTGACTAATACAGCAACAATCACATTAAGATGTAAATAAATGTGTATGAAATAATGTCCCTCAGGTTTGCAGACTATGGCTGCATGCTGGAGATCCTCAGTCTGGAGCTGCTGCCTGATGGGCGGTCCTTTGTGGACACAGTGGGTGGCAGCAGATTCAGGGTGCTTAAGAGAGGTCAGCGGGATGGCTACCACACTGCTGATATCGAGTACCTGGAGGACCTCAAGGTCAGTATGCAGAGATCACTAACTACACCAGTACTTCAAGAAGATACACACTGAAAATATGACAATGTGATCACTGGACCTCTTCTCTCTCTTGACCTGTTTCCTGTCTTTGCATCCTCCCTCGTTCAGGTTGATGGTAGTGAGATGGAGCTTTTGGAGCATCTCCATGACAGTGTGTATCAGCAGGCTCAGGACTGGTACCAGCGCCTCGGCAGCCGCATTCGCGAGCAGATCAACAGACAGTATGGCACCATGCCAGATAAGGAGGAAGACATTCAGGTAGGGACCTTAGCAGAAGTGTGTTTTGTTTGTTTGGTATGCATTTTTTATTTCTCCTAGCTATTTGGGGTCAGTAGGACCCATTAAGTAAAAAACACGTAACATTGTCAACAATAATTAAGTCCCATTGACCTCAAACGAGACAACAGTAAAGTCCCAATGTCCTCAAATGAGTACTTCCTAATTAGTCTTAGCTTGTCACTGTTGCTAAAATTGGTCAAATTTGTTGCCATATCAAACTACAAACAAAATTAAACCACCATAAAATTTCAACCAAAATCTGACCAGGTTTTGAACCTTGTCCACTTTTGAGTTGGGATCGGCTTAGTGTATTGTCCTTTTACTACCACTAGATGGCACAAAAGAGTGTCCATGAATGAGGACAACAGGTCTGAGGTAAGAAGAATGAAGTATAAAGTCAAGTAAACCCAAATGTGATGTCGACATATGAGGATGCTGGGTCTAAGAGGTTGAGAACGGGGTTCAGTGGGATGTTAAGGGTGAAAGCGACTTTCATGTAATACAGCAAACAAGCCAAGTTAGCGCTCTGAGCTAATACATGCTAACTACACTAACACCGTATTGCAAATGTGCTACAACATTTTTTTCTGACACTAGATAGTTCCTGTGAGCTGTAAATTCATAACTTCTAAGCAGAAGGCAGAAGATAATATTTACTCTGAGCCTGACCCGACAAAGGCTCTCTTCCTCTGGGCAGCTGTCTCCATCTTACTCAGATTCACCCTGGGTCTGGGTCTGCAGCTCCCTGTACCAGAGAGCAGTGTGCAAGCTAAGAGCGCTCACTCTGCAGCTAAACTCTGCAGCTGGGGACCGAAATGTCCCCAGAAGCACACTACAAAGTTTTACACTACAGTTTGTAGAATCTCAGTCGACTGCAGGGTCTTTGGCTGATGATTCGACTCTTTGACTTTCAGGGGGCAGCCCTACCAAACATTTCCTCAAGAAAAGCCTATTTTTTCTTTTGTTTTGCTTTGAATTCTGTTTTGTCCCTGCATCATCCATCTCTTAATGTTAGGAAGTAATAAAAAAGTATTTAAAACTAGCTTTTAATAAGTAGAGAGCCGTCCACAAAAAGAAAGATAACTGTAACAATAACGATATGAGCTGCTAAAAATGGCACCAAGCACGCGCTGTATGCCCCAGCTGCATTGGCAGCTTAGGAAATGGATATTGATGACCCGTAGCTATTCATAATTGTCTCTTCATCTCCATTAATAATAGTAATAAAACGCTTACTACTGTCTCTAAGGGTGAGCCAGATTGCTTCCCAGATGTCCTTGGTGATAGCGTCTTTATAAAGACTGTTTCGTTTATCAAACAGAGGTGTTATTATTGAACTACAGTGAAGAGTCTCTCAGTAATGTCATCGGCCATGTTGAACATGACACTCTGTAAATTCAGATTGATTTTGATTGGCTGTCAGTCGCTCATCGCTCTGAAAGGCATCCCAATGACACCGTTTGCCACTGTTGTTGTTATACTTTTTGTGTGGACTCCGCCATCCACTTGAGTTAGAACGACTTTTAAAACAATATATGTTTGGTTATTGTTATAGTTATCGTTCTTAGCGTGGACGAGCCTTAATTCTTCACAGGGAAAATAAAAGTTGTTATTGTTTTATGCTAATGCAGTGCAGAGTTTTCCTTTCAAACTGCACTCAGAGCTCCATTACTGTAGCCTGACATCGCCAGGCCAAATTGCAAATCTGTCAAAGCAAATAAAGCATAAGCTTGCAGATTTGTCTGGTTCCCAGGCTGCTGTTACTGCTCAGTGGTACCATTAACATAACAACAATAAAAACAGACATTATGTTCATAGAGATAGTTGCAGTTGAAGGAATGGAAAACATTGGCTAGCATGTTAGACAAGCATAATGTAGAAATCCAAACCATTACATTACAAGATGACAAGATGCATGAAAAGATGGGAAGCAGTAATGTCAAGTGATTTGTACTGAACAGGCTAATGGGATGGTGTGGTACTTTATCCATTTTCATGAGACACATATTTCTTTCTAATTCTTTGTAACCATCCTCTAGGCCTCGTCTGATGGTCCGGCCTGGTGCTGGTGGCTGCTGTCTGTCCTCCAGCTGGACCCTGCCTATCAAACAACTGTCCTGTCCCTGACATCACTCAAAGACCGCCTGGGACACCTCCGCCTCGTCCTTGAGTACTTCTCTCAGAGCTAGACTCCACAGCTCAGTGGTGCTGTGACCACAACCAGCTGAGAGTTGATTATTGCACACACACACACACACACACACACACAGACACATGAGAGTGAAACCAATGAATGCACTCACACCACAGAGTTTGGGGCTGGGTCTACTCTGAATCTTAAAGTCACAGCTCAAAGCCGTTCACTAGCAGAGAGAGAGTGATTTTATTAGAAAACACAGTGTACAGAGTCGGGGTTTTGCTGTTTGAGTTTGCACGTGTTCTCTTTCTTACACTGTTTTCTTCCCCAGGAATTCAAGGGTTCAGAGTAGTTTGTGCATATATGTTGTACTCGCTGCAACAAGAACTACAAAACTGACCAAAGATACGTCCTGTTTAGGTCCATCAAAAGTGGTAAATTGTTATTTGTTGATCAACTAAATCAGCTCGAAGAATATTGCTGAATATGAGCACTAGATGTCACTGTTTTCTCTCCAGTTATTATAAACATGAAGAACATGCAGCATCAGCTGAGCCAGTGCAGCACACTGTACTGTCATGTGTGGCCTATTCCAATCAGACTCTGTGCATTAACAAAGCTTAGTTTGGAGTGAGAATAAACATTAATAGCACACACAATTTGTAGAGATTTGTAGGCTATTTTTCAGGACTATGCACATCAGAGGTTATTTGGATATTGCTGAGGGGCACTAGTTGTAAGGCTTACATGTTAGTTGCATCTATTGGCCTTGGCAGCCATTGAGAATGGCTCATTTTATACTGATGAATAATCTTTGAAAAAATAAAACCCTATTTAGTATTAAATATTGCAATAATAATTTATAGTGGCAGCAACTGGAGAATCTTTTTTTAAATGAATGCAAGCTGCCGATGTGGCTGCTGGATGTCTCTCTGGATGCTGTTTGTCATCATCTGGTGGGAAGAGTCTTCTCTGAAATTATGGCAATGAGGAGACGTAGGCGGTCAGTGGATGGGAGGTGTACCAGCTTAGTTTTACAGTGTGAACCTGTGTGATTATGTATGGTGGTGGATGCAGCACTGTATGTGTGTGTGTCAGCTGTAAATATGAAGTCATTTTTCTCAGTTGCCATCTTCATTATGTTTTAAATTCCACATGGCGTGGTGTCAGCACTGATAAGAGCTACTGTCATGTCCACTCCCTCGAGGTGCAGTGGTTATAGATGAAGCGTCAGTCCAGGGACAGAGAGTTTAACATCTCCTGGGCAGAGATAAAGTAATAGGGTCTGACTAGGGGTGAGTCCCCGTGTGGTGCCTGTGTGTGTAGGCCACATCACCTTTGTCTGGCTCCTGCTGCGTCTCCTGGTCTGTCTGGCCCCTCTACCACCAGTCATGGTGCCTTTGAGTGCCTTGGCCAACTCGCCACGAGACCTGCAAGTCTTATAAGCCACATTTAGGATGGACTGTGTGATAATTTTTTTTACCATTGATTTTTATTGATATAGTGCTACATTCCATGGAATGTTGAAGCTGCGATGTTAAAGTTAATTTACTTACAAATACGGGCTTAACTGGGTGAAACGTTAGAGCTTTTTTTTTCACTTTGATAAATGTGCCATGATATTTCTGTGTTTTGTAGGAATAGTTTGCGAAATAGTCACTGTGTTTATGTTTGTCTACATCATGGACTCTGAAGTCCGACTTTAAGCCTCATGCCTTTTGTATGGTGGGCATTGAACTACCACCTTCTCACGGCCAACATATAACATATCACTTTAAAGCTGGAGTGCAGGAGTCTAGTGTCTATTAGAGTTTAGTGTCTGATGTCAGTGTGGACTGGTGAACCAGAAGTGATGTGTTTTACATCAAGGGAGGGAGCCATCGCAATGGAGCAGTGGCTAGGAGTATGGCAGAAAATCCTAAGTAACATCCAAGAAAAGTTTCTGGAATGGATGGTCCTGATAAAAAACAAACTTGTGTAGAAGAGGGATTAAAGGTCTAGTGCGTAGCATTTAGTGACACCTAGCGGTGAGGTTGCAGATTGCAACCAATGGAAGCATAGAGGAAAACTATGGTGGCCGATGCAAAGACGCAAAAGGCGCTGTCTAGAGCCAATGTTTGGACTCTGTGGGAGATGACCTGCTCTGCATGTAGATATAAACAGCTCATTCTAAGGTAACAGAATCACAACAACTATTAGTTATGAATAACGTGTTCCATCCCTGCCAATGGATGCCCCTGAATCCCACACACTGGAACATTTAGGGTAAAAATAAATAAATAAAAAAAGAGCACTCCTGTGGCTGAACTCATCCTCATACATCATAAGCATGCATTGACAGTGTTTGTGTAATTACTCTCACACAGAAGTTCTGCACTACAGCTTTAAACAATCAGAATTAGTCCAGCAAACACACTCATAGATACAGTTTGTGTGATACAGAACTGCTGCCCTGCCAGTGTGATATTGTAGATATGGCTTAGAATAAAAGCGGTAATTGTGAGACTTGATATGCACAAAAATGTCCCACTAAAGGGCGAAGCAGCGGACAGACGGATACTGAAGCTGCATTGGTCACCTAATAGACTGGCTTACCATTGAACTTTGACCTGGGAATTTACACTTTGAATGAGGGCAAGAAACATTGTTATTACCATTTTTTAAAATGGGTTAATCGACTTCAGTTATTATGCTGTCATTTCTGAAGACATCGGGGCCTGGAACTGTCGTCAAAGACTTAAATGTGCCAGTTATCACACCATGTCTCCAAAGCTAGTGTATCATAAAGGTCAGTCTCTTGCTGCTACCAGACAGGATTAAAGCTAACTCGCAAATAAAAAGGGATCGAGATTCTCATAGAATTTTTTGAAAGACCAGCCTCAAAAAGCCTTCGTGGTGAACGCGAGTCCACAGCCACTGTGCTGAATTTCACTTTCCTTATCAGAGAAGAAAATATTTTTGAACAGTGAAATAACTTGTTGCATTTTTGTTTTCTGATGCTCAGCTGCAGTTTGTCACATTTTTCTCTCTTCTTCACATCATGCACATTTTTCTGTCTCTTTTATTACGTAAAGATGTCACTTTCAGTAACATGGTGATATATGTTGATCACAGAAGTCGGGATCGTATTGGTTTACTCTTTAAATTAATTTGTGCACCAGTGTGCGATTTTACATGATAAAATGCTAAAAATGTTTTTAAAAAATGAATGATTGTACCCTCATGTTTTGATCCAACTAATTGGTCAATTTAATGTTTAATTTGTCAGAAATATTTATCAGCACAGTCATGACTTCATCTCACCTAGCCTGCAGCTTTATGCCCCTCCTACTCTGGCAGATGCCCATTAGCCATAGTTGCAGTATAATTGGACTATCACAAAATGTCCTCCAATGCAGTTCAAACAATTTGCACCAAATCCACATTGCCTCGAACGCAGAACACAGAGCATAATAAGTGACCCGTTCTTGGCAGCGACTCCCCCGTGAGAACGAGTCTTACACTTGTGTAACTTGGGAAAGGCTGTGAACAGCACCATGGTGGCGTGTTCTTGCCATGTGCTGCAGCTTGCAGGAAATGCTGGTTGATGTGGTCTGGTGGTCAGTGGTTTAGAGACAGTATGAATTAGAGATGTGCATTGTTACTACTCTGTGCTCGCATACTTTGTTGTTAGGAGCAAGTACATGTAAACCCACGGAACACTAAAGCAACTCCTGTTTGACTCATTTGTATTCACCTCCGAGCCAAGAGCAGCAAATTATCTTAATCTGATTATTGTTTATTCGCTTGCCCCCTGGATGACTTTTTAAATGTTATTATAAATAAAGCTTTTCAAAGCAAAATCAGCATTATCTTCCTTTAATGTGTCTGTTTTGTGTCTGAGTCATTTGAATGTTACGCGAGCAATTTCTTTGGTCATTAAGGTGGCATAACAAGCCAAATGGAAGTGACGGGATCTATTGCAATTCACAGCATGACAGAAATTGGTAGAGAGGAGGGCTGATGGAAGTGGAATGTGCCTCACATACTGATAGCAACACACACTGGCAATGAAACAGTTATAATTACTGATAGAACTGTGAAGTGCTGCAGCTGCTGCGGAGTGAAAGAAGCCTTGGGTTTACTCTTGTGGTTAGAAATTAAAATTAGGATGGATATTAGAATGGGTATTCCCAGCGAGGGTCCAATTGGATGATTATATTTGACTGCACAGCCACAGAGAAATTGCATGGGTTATGATATCAAAGAAACACAACATTTCTTATGGTCTGGCGTGGATCACATATCTGAAATATTATCTATCTGATTCATAATTGCTGAGATTTAAACAGTTACTGCTTTTTGCCCAACCCAGACCAACGTGTGATCTGAGATGGAGCTGCTGTTAAGTGTCACCCTCACTACAACACAATAAAAAACATGTGAACAAACCTTCCTATACAGGAAATTAATACAATGCAAACACATGCTATGAACAAACTTTCCACCAGGGGGCAGTCTGTAGATGTGGAAGAACAGTACAATCCTGCACAGATGGGATCACACTTTATAAAAGGGAAGAAATCTCATAAGACTTCAGCTTTTTTCATTTCATAAAAGCTCAAAATGATCATGTTAGTGTTGCCAATAGGGTCAAAAGTGAGATTCTGGCTTTCAGGGAGAACCAATCATATGAAACAAACTGGAAGGAAGTAGTTATTTCCCATGCTGCTGAAAAGAACACAAATTAGTGAAAGTAAAAGAGGATGTGTGAGTGTAAGTGTGTGCATGCCATGAACTGCACTCCTCTGAGCACGAGAAGAGAAAGCAAAAAAAAAAACCGGCGTAGCTGAAGTGAGGCACGTTTCCTGCCAGCGTCCTCTGCATAGGAAGCAGGCAGATGAAAAGAGGTTTCAGTGGCTTCAGCAGGGTTCTGTAATGCAGCTCAGCGTCTACATCAAAGCCCATTACATTTGAAGAATGCCACAGCTTTTCTGTACTAAATTGATCCATCGGCTTGCGCTGACTCCCTGCTTGTGTATGACTGAGTAAGGATGACAGGCGTTTTGTAGGAGTTATCGCAAAGGGGGGAACTGGCTGTGGCTGTGTGTGTTAGTGTGTGTTAGGATGTGTGTGCATGCTCTTGTATTTCTGCTGTTAAGAGGACCACATTCCCTCACAGGGATAGGAAGAGGAAGGGAATCTACACAGTGGAATTTTTGGTTAGTTTAGAGTACGAGTGTAGGATTAAAGTTAGAATTTATGTTAGGTAAAGGTCAAGCTGAGAGTTGCAACAATAGTCTCAGTGAAGGTCCTTAAAAGCACACAACAAATGGTGATTCTTTAATAATAATAATAATCCGTCATATTTATGCAACAACTCACTGGGGTCTCCACTGAAATAGACTAGTCTGTGCAGTATGGAACAACAGCGAGAGAGCAATGAACGCAGCTATGTTGCAAACAAAACCCAGCCTGTCAGCGCTGGATGTCAAGAGCAGGATTATCAATTAGGAAACTGAGAAACTTTGTCTTTGAAGTGAGCATTTTGTTTACCTTACACAGTTGAAAGACAACACACGGGGAGCTAATTCCCGCAGATATAAGTGTGGTGAATTGAGGCAGAGTGAAGGGGTGAGGGAGATAGTGGGAAAGAGCTCAAGTTGCCAAATCTCTGTGTGTGTGTGTGTGTTTTCTGCAGTGCTCAATGCCCCTCTTCTTTGGATGACTGGAGTTTTTTTTTTTTTTTTTTTTGGTGTCAGTATTTATGGTGTGTGTGTGTATGTGTATGTGTGTATGTGTGTGTGTGTGTGTGTTCCTGTGCAGGTCTGAGGCTGATAAACCTTGCTTGTTTCTGTCTTTGTATAATCCCCCTGAGTGTCAACACAATGATAAACCCATGAGTGCGCTCTCATGTGACAGCGCCTCGGAGAGCCAAGGTAAACACATTGGCCACCTGCCACATTTAGAACCACGGGACACATCATGAATACTCTGATATAAAGAAGCAGAGTCATTCAAAAGAACAAAGAGCTCAAGAAGGAGCAATTGTGTTGCAAGATTAGCCCCCCAAAAAGTTCCTTTGTTCTTCTGAAAGCTCTTTGTCTTTCTTCTAAAAAAGACACTTGATGATTCAAGCCTTAAATGTATGATTTGTGAGGCGCACAAAAGAATTTGACCTTCCACGTTGCATGACTGACAGTTTAACATCTCAGAATGGATGGATGAGATATCTCTTTGCCCCACTACAAAGAAGGCAACACTGGCACAGATTGAGTGGATGAGAGGGAGAAAAAAAAAAACATGAGGGTCTTTTTATATTCTGGTTCGTTGTAGTAAAAAAAAATACCAAAAACAAACCAAGCAGATAGAAGGATCGCCTGCTGGGAGATGAAGGACAGGAGAAACAGGAAGCAGGGGGGCGCTGCAGGAGACACCATGTCACGCAACTGGCTCACTGATTCGTAGAGTTACCGCCTGCTGAGACACACACCTGGCTGCGGGGCTGCTTTCATGTGGTCCTCACAGGCAGAGAGGCAGATGTAATGATGGGAGGTCAGGCCCACATTCAGTTTTAAAAAAACAATATGAGTTTATTTTGTGTGCATTTTTGAGTCTCTATCTTAATGCTTTATTGTGCAAACAATATGTGTTTGAAGGTGTACGGTCCTGGGCACAGGAACAGGTGACGTCAGGACTAAAAAGTTAGTGACCAGGTGCCAGACTGTTAGCAGTACACATCCATATAGACTTTCACTGACGACACTGTTTACTTGAGTTGAGCAAGCATGGATAATGTACCTTTTGTGTGCACAAATATCATCTGAGTAGAATGTGAAAAAATCTGTACTCTCAAAGGAAAATCCTCATCTGGGTAACTCTATTCCATTACTCTTGTGATCAAAGTTAGATTAACGTCAAGAAACAGAAATCATCTGTGCCTTTTAATGTAAATATGCCAGTAATGCCCTTTGTTAGGTATAATACATATGATCAAGATTCCACACTGTAAATATGCACAGTTGGATTTGGATATCACTCAGTCAGAGCTCATTGTAGCTCAAGTATGTGAACCACAATATTATCATGGCTGTAGCCATGGACATCTCCAAACTGAATGATTTTGCAAAAGTGGATTTTCAAAGCAAAAAGGAAATAACAGAAGGAGGGAGGACGACCTCAGCCTTAACCAAGCTACATCAACAAAAGGGACAGAAAAGTGTTTTTAAACAGACTGGTACAAAATAAAAGATTACAAGACTATACATGGCTGTAGTAGCAGTCAGCGAATGTGCTGCTATCCCGCCTATAAGGGCTGGATGTTATCTAAAAGTAGCCTTAATCTACAGATTGGTGAGTCAGTGTACATTTATGTACATTTTATATTACATTTTTTAGATATTTTTTTGGGGGGCATTTTTGCCTTTAGTTGATAGGACAGTTTAGTGTGAAAGGGGGAGAGAGGGGGAATGACATGCAGCAAAGGGCCACAGGCTGGAGTCGAACTCGGGCCGCTGCGGCAACGGCCTTGTACATGGGGCGCCTGCTCTATCCACCGACGCCACTGACGCCCCTGACCTCTGTGTTTTATTATTGCTAACTAACGCAAGACAGAAAGATAATTGGTCGCTGTGCCATAATTAAGGATATGGTTGCATTCTGATACATAACACAGGCACCTGGTGTTTAGTAGTTATATTTTAAAGGCAGACATCTTATATGGCTGTCTCATACAGAACTTTGCCCATTCCAAATACGGATACAGATAATTTAGGTGGTTAAACACAAATAGATATAGGTACAGGTAGTGTACTTGCTCATCCGTACTGTTTACAATCAGAGTAACTGACAGTTCCTGTGTAATATACCTTTAATTCAATGTGTTTGCAGAGACAAAAATGGGTAAGCTGTTGTGACCAAAAAATAGCAAGCCAGACCAAATTTTGCACAGCCTGATTCATCTTTTAACCAGCAGTGTAGCAGTGTATGTCACCTGATTTTTGTCATCCTATTGATTTCTCAAACTTATTCCTCACTAACCTACAAATGGGTGGATCATTACAAAACTCAGACCCTGCAGCAAAATATTTTCAAACCCACAGATATGTTTTTGAAATTCAAGTGGAGAACCTAAAGTTTCCAAAGATATCAAATGTGTCAGGCTGAATTTTTGGAGAAATGTCTATATAATGATGCACAAGACATCTCAAATATTTCCACTTGATGGAAGGGTGTATCTATAAAAACATTAGAGTTTTGGGTTTGAATATTTCAACCTGTGTAAATATCAATTTCAGTGAAGAGTTGGAACAAGCTGATAGAAAATATGTGATACTGATTGCTCAATTCTACAGTTTCCCTCAGCTAGCTAGGGCATATTAGCATCGTTTAGATGAGACTTTTGGTTTCACGGCTCGCAACTTTACTGTTTTGGTTCAGTCTCACAAAATAAATATTAACCCTAGTAGGTAACTGTTTTTATTGTCAGAACATTAACTTACTGTACACAATATGCCCTGCACCAAAAAGTTAGCAACTAGCTTATTGTAGCAGCAAGTAAAGAGTCCCATGTTTCTTTCGTAAGGCGCTGGAGTTAATATTTGACCCACATTCATCAGGTGATCAGGAGCATGACAAAAAATAACTGCAACTGTTTGCTAACATGTTGTTGTCAGGATGGGCAGGAAGTGGAGAGCAGTTGAGGCACTTGAGGTGGTGGAGTCTCGACTGAGGCAGAGCTAGCTTGACGGGAATGTGGCCAGAGGCTTAGCTGGCCTTCGTTACTTCCCCAGGACTCTGATCAGCAAAGCCATGGGCAAATGGAGGCAACTTCTTGTCCAGGAAGAAGTTCGAGCAAGCATGGAAGAAGAAA